AGTAGCTGTTTGTTTTTCTTGAACTTGTTTAAGAGTTGAATCGAAACTTGAAAACTTGTCATCCATTTTCTTAAGAATTTGTTCAAACATCTGGGCACTTCTATCTTGGCTAGGTTGATGATTTAAATTCAGATTTCCCCTATTTGCTTGATTAAAATTTTGATTATTGTTTTGAGGAGGACCATATCTGAGATTTGGATGATCCTTCCAGCCCTCATTATAAGAATTTGAGTATGGATCATAATTTCTTTGTTGGTTGTTGTAAAAAACAGCGTTGACTTCAGGATTTTGAAGAGTAGGATAAGCATCAGTTGCATGCCCTTCTAGACAACATACTCCACAATGGATCCCCCTAACATTCCCACCCCCAGAAACAAGTTTTGACATCATACAGGTGAGTCCAGAAAGCTTTTGTTCAATTGATTTACTTTCAAGTTCATTGACTTTTTTAACCAGTGTCTCTCTTGTTCCAAATTGTTGGGTGTTTTGAGCAATCAAGTTAAAAAGCTCCCTAGCTTGGGTAGGGGTTTCGTTAACAAGGGCTCCTCCACTTGCAGCATCTACATTATTCCTATCAGTGGGTAGGAGTCCTTCATAAAAATATTGAATCAACAATTGTTCAGAAATTTGATGTTGTAAGCATGAAGCACAAAGCTTGTTAAACCTCTCCCAATATTCAGAAAAATTTTCACCTATCATTTGTTTGACCCCACAGATATCCTTCCTAATAGACCCTATCCTAGAGGCTGGGAAGTATTTCTCTAAGCAAGCCTTATGTAAAGCATTCCATGTTGTAAAAGAACCAGCAGGCATATAATACAACCAATCTTTAGCTTTATCACATCAGAAAAAAGGAAAAGCTCTCAACTTAATTTGGTCCTGAGCAACCCCTTCAGGCACCATAGCACCGCAGGTAATCAGAAATTCAGAGACGTGCCTGAAGGGATCCTCTCCAGGAAGACCATGAAACTTAGGCAAAAGATTTATAAACCCAGAATTCAGCTTTAAATGTTTTTCCAATTCAGTGTAAGTAATAGCCAAAGGTTGAACATTTAAATTAGGGGCAGCAAGTTCTTTCAAAGTAGCCATTTTTTGTTCAGTTTTGACTTCAAAAAGGTTTCCAAATATTGTCTCAAAATCAGATTCAGAATCAGCAACAAACACGTTGGAAACTTCACAACCAGACTCAAGCACAGCTTCACACGGTTGGAAATTAAAAGAGTCAAGTCCAGCCACACTTACCTGGTGATTGTAACCTAGCTCAATTGTTTCTCCAATAACTCTTCCACTCCTTAACAGCANAGGAAGAACATCTCACTGTGGGAGAGGGCCAACATAACAAGCCATTCTCAGCCCTAAATTATTATTTCAAGAATGATCAACTCACAGACAATGCCCTTCCAGCTAGTAGGAAAAGAAATGAGAAGTAACCAACGGATGCACAAACAAAAGCCTTGTCTGGAAAAAACCAAAAATCCAATCAAGCATTACGAAGCATGCAAATTGATATTGGTCATTATCCGAGGAGCATAGTTATCAAGGCATCGCCTAAGCGTTGCCTAGGCGACGCCTAGGCGTCTGGGCGAGATATTGGGGACGCCAAATTGGTCGTCTAGCTTTTTCCGCCTAGAATTTGACTTGTCATCGATTAAAACGCGGCAGGTTACCTGGAAAAATCTGAATCGCAGCAAAGATCCGGAATCGAAGGTAACTTGTCATCGATTAAAACGCGGCAGGTTACCTGGAAAAATCTGAATCGCAGCAAAGATCCGGAATCGAAGGTAAAAACGTGGATCCCAATCGTATAATCGTCCAATTCAGGGACGATTCGATCTTTGAAGATGCGATGCGGGTCGGGCTAGGAAGTGAATTTGCTTCTTGTCGGCTTAATTAAAAGATTTACGAGTAATTGCCGGCTACTCGCGGGTTACTACTAACGACCCATTAAAAAGTAAAAGGAACAAGACTTTAAGGGTCGGGTCGGGTAGTTTATACACCTAAATTTATTTTAGAAAACATAAATGGGTAGTGGGGGTACTGTACACTAGGAACTACTCTAAAAATTAAAAGAAAAGACTTTGTGGGTACTGTACATTTATGGAGATGGAGTAGTGGGGGTACTGGAGTAGTGGGGGTACTGTACTGGGAACTATTCTGAATATTGCAGTTTCTAATTACTCGTACTATTCTATACCTAAAGGTTTTGTTCTTCATCTCGTTTGGCATCTGACTTGATGAGTTGCTTCTTTGATTTTTTTATACTCCCTATTTATATATTATCAACATTTTGATATTTATTTTTTTAGTATCACTGTACTATTTAATCATTTTATTTATTTATTTCATACTATTCGTGTTTACATTAGTACTTAAAAAATATCAATATTGACATATCCCACTCGCCCAAGGGACGCCTAGGCGGGCGCCTAATCGCCTAGGCGTGTGGAAGGTGGTCTAGCGCCCAGCCTCGCCTAGTCGCCGTAACAACTATGCCGAGGAGTCATATGGTGATCTGTGAATCATATCATCACGAGTGATATATAAGAAAGTGATCTTACCTTGAAACCATCCAACAAGAAAGGCCGCCAAAGCCACAAGAAACGCTAGAAAACAAACAACTAGCATCTGAACCCTTTTCAGATAGAAATTATTTGAGGCCCAATAATGAATCGCACCGATAGCTAGAACTAGAAGGAGGAGAACTAAGAGAAATGTTGCTCCTATCTGTCATAATATGAAGTGAAACTCCTTAGAGATAAACAATAATAAGAGATAAATTAACCAATAGTATTGAGTTACCCTCCAAGGATGCACTGTAACTATGATGGCCGAAATGGCACCAAGCTGAAGAAGAAGACCAATAATAATGAATATATAGGCACCTCGATAAAGCTTCCAGTTATCATCTTTCCTGATAATATTTACAATAGAGTTACTCTAAATGAGGAGCAGCTCACATCTTACAATTCAAGTGCAATGGTTTAGAAGTGTGAAATGAATCCGTATAAGCTTGTTAAAGATCAGTTGGTTCTGGCAAACAACATTACCATTTAAATAAACCAGAAGAAAGTGAAAGGACTGCAAAAATGCATAACAGTGGAAGCAATGCAGCCAAGAAGTCTTCCTTCATCAGGACTTGATCAACCCTCAAACTCACAACTTTCAAATACGAGACACTACAAAATGCCACAAGAACAGCTACAAACAGATAGAGTAGAAAGAGTGTCAATCGGCATTAGTGCTGCAGGTGAACAAATGTCAAAGAAAATAACCTGAACACTTCTTTAAAGTGAGAAGGAATCAATTACCTGCAAATACACCAATAGAAATACCAGATGAGAGGGGAAACCGATATGTTACAAACCATGATATGATGGGCAGCAAGCCACTAGCTAATAAAGCAATTGCAGATGCCACTGCCCAACCAAGGTAAACAGATGATGCATAAGGAGAGGTAACAACATTCTGATCAACAGTCAACCCCTTGTACCCTAAATCATCTAATGGTTTTGCAGACACTATCACTCCAAGAGCTACAACAGATCCAGCAAATAAAGACATGTAGGCAAATAGAACACCCTGCAAAATAAATTCATTCAATTTTCAAGCATGATGTTTGTGAAACCCGTGGGAAATATTGCATATTTGCATGTCTGAATGAACTCTAACAATGGGAGAAGATTCTACAGGAAATGAGAGAAGCCCACAGACATATTCTAGAAGAGCCTGCTCACATCAAACGCCAATACAGCTATAGAAGATGGTAACCATTTCCAATCCATCAACAAAGCAACCATACATTATACAGTATAAATTAAAGCACCACTACATAATTGATAATACAA